GAATATCGGCCTCAGATATTATCGGGCCGATATTCACTGAAAAAATTTTAATAGTCGGGAATTATAGTATCGGGGTTTTATAACGATGTTTAGTTCTGTAGGCTTCAGCATTCGGAGCTGCGGGAAAAAAAAAAATGAAAAACGCAGTTTATCTATGTGGGAAACGAAAAAATGGTGGGAACCAGGCGCAGAAACATAAGATGACGAGTATAAAACAACACAATCTACGCAAATAACCTGCGCCCTATGTGGCATAAAAACGTGGCGCCCTCACCAAGGCAGCCCCCCCCACCCCTCCTCTCACAAAAAGCTGAAATGAAATCCCTCTCCCTCACATAGTTAACACAAAAATAAGTGCAATGTCTCATTTCCTCTGTAAATAGTTTGATACTTCTGCTTATGCAGCATAAGTGTACCTATTATACCCCATTCCTAAGGGCGGTTGAGAGGCATTGGGGCTGATAGAATTTTACAATTTATGCACTACCTATCAGAGTGACATCCCTTTTTTTGAATACAGGAGTAAAACACAGTTGAAGGGCCAAAGCGGTAAGTGCTTAGTAAAAGTCGATTTGCGTGAGAACTTGCGGAAAAACATTAGCGATTAGAGCGGGGGTCGCGTGTGATCAGTAATTACTTTTTTTCCGGGGGAAGAGAAACAAAAATGAAAGAGGTGAGAAGGTGATAGTTCTAACTTATTTTAGTCTACGACTGGGGCACCACGTTGCACCATTAAATATGTATGGCATCCAGTAGGGAGCAATCACAATAAAAGAATTAACCCATGGCGATATATTGGTGTTAATTGTGGGCCAGGCAAATTAGTTTTGTTATAAAAGGAAATTTATAGTTTTTGTTTTTATTTCTCTATATCAAGTAATTAAGAAGTGTATCGGAAAATATTCGTGATTATCCAGGCAGAAAGTCAACAAATAATCGGTAGCGAGATCCCTTGATTTAAACTCCACACGCCGCGTGTGCAGATATTTGTGTCCAGCCTTCCCCCGCAGATACCATATTAAGCCTATATAAAATAATTGTTCCTTTTATAACCAAATTTATAAAACTTGCTAGTGTATATATATTGTATATTATAAGATAAAAAACTAATAATGCATCATGAGGACCAAACATGACCTGCTGATGTACGAAGCAGAAGCGAAGACAAAGCGTACAGAAAAGAGAGGCCAAAGAATAGCAACAAACAAAAAATACTCCAAAACAACTTCCTTATGGTTTACTTTCCTTCCTTAACGCATATACACAACATCTATTACAATGATCACAACTATCACGCAAGCTCTAAACTACTTAGAAGAAGATTTACCAAAAGAGGCGCGAGGACTGGATCAGGGCGCTGAGAAGATCTATTCTCTATCCAATATATTTACTATACATCTCAGAGCAACACTCTGAGTTTCTTTAGCTACTCCCTGTCACTCCCACACTCCCCTCTACCTGACCCCGGCCTTAATCAGTGATAACTATTTAGCGTCCCTCCGCATTTTTGTTATACTCTCATCTCCCACATATATAAGCGGAGAGTGGATGAGCAATCCTCGTCCTATCGGCGCGCATGTACATATAGTTATTAATATGTTTTCTTATCCCCTGATGATAGCAACAAAACTATTCTCTTCAAAGCAATAATGTCACACACAATTCATTCCCTCTCCTCTCTCCCCCTACAAAAACACCCAAATCCACCAAAGATCTAACACCCAGTCAGCAAAAAACCTAAAAAAAAATTTAAGGGGAAAAGCGCGATTAACCCAACCAAAAATAGCACGCATAAACCGGCGGTTATATTACTAAATCTTCTAATCCACATAGACAAAATACAAACAATACTTCTCTCTAAGATGAAAGTGTGGTTTTTCTTTTCGGCCCTCCCCTCAATACAACCACCATCCTCCCCCATTTGGCAAAGCCCTCCTGAGGAGATCCATTAACTGCTTAACTACTCTCCTGAAGTGGGCGAGGCCTACACTGAATTTCTATTTTGTGTGGGCGATGCATCACGCCTTCGCGAAATATATGGGAAATATAAAAGAATGTCCACCCCCAAATATGTTGTAAAAACTAAAAGAAAACTCCTGATAAACGGTGTGTATGGACATGATAGGGTATTTTTTTCCCCCAGCGAATGCCGGGGAAGCAAGAAGATTTCAACTACAGCACAGTAATGCGAGTGACACTTAACGTGAACCATATTATGCAAAACTTGGCAAGAAAGGGTGTGATATTACTCTCCTCCCACTTTAATGTAATAATTGCTCATGTCTGGGATAGCGCAGGAAGGTGCTGTGCGTAGTGACCCAAACCTATAATGTGTCAGAAAATTTTATATTTTTCAAAAATGTGAGAAAAAATGCCAATATGTTCGCCCCCCAAAATACGCTACACTGTCTATGCAAGGGGGATGGACTATCCAAGACAACCCCACACAAGTGAAAATGAGGATTACCCCAAGTACCTCCCCCAATTGGACAATAATTTGTTGCCTCACCGCTCACAGTAAGTAAATTCAAACTTTATTGCAACTGGATTTTAAAAAATACAGACACAGCAAAACTTATCAACTACAATGCAATGTAATAGAGTGTGGAGTATAAATTAAGCAGCACCAAAATACAATTACTTTTATAAAGGAAATACTCCTACCATGAGCTTGGCTAAGTGATCACTCTCCTATACACAGATTTCTTTGCTGCAAAACTCCACCCCACTATTTCCAATGCTCTGACGTACTCTGTGATTGAAAAGATATTTTTACAGTGTAGAGGGTAAAAAATAAGAGTTTAAATAGATAGAATTCAACAACCACGCTCTCGAGCTTTACACAGGATAATGACCCCTAAACATTGCCGTATAAGGTGGCCCCAGTCCGTGGGCAAATTTGACCAAAAAATATCATCGTATGTGTTACATGCTACAGAACATAGTCGGAATACTAGGAGTAATCAAGCCCCTCTGCTGTAATACGGACTGACAGCATGTGCTCAATACGATGCTACAGTTTGGCTAAACCATTAGCGGTAACATTAGCCGACCATAAAGCTACTTGAGTCAATGCGATACCTAGACCAAGTAAGGCTGTTTGCAGCCCAAATAAACTAACCTGATGTTTTCTCCATATTTTCCTGTTCATTCGAATTGGACAATTTTCGTTACCTCTCTCCCTCTTTCAAAGTCAGTGTAGTCTATCGCTCTTAGTCTCTCGACGTCTCCTACTGTACCCCCTCGTACCAAAGATCTAGCATCAAATGCATGAATAAGGTAGAGGACACACACACACAATCAAGAGTATTTAATATCACAGTGGCAAGTGTAGAAGTGCGGGGTAATTTCATATTCAATAGTAATAATTTATCATGGATGTATCGGCAGTAAATTTAAGAGAAAGAGCAATTTCATTTATTGTTACAATGAGTACAGACCACGATCAGTAGCACTCACTTATTTGCCCTTATCATTAACATTAAAAAATTTTATAGGTGTTTTTAACATTATAAACATTTATAGTCCTATTCAACTCCTTGCGCTGAATGTAGACAATAAACATCAAACCATTTACAACACATAACTGAGGACTTTAGACATATTTAAAAAAAAGATTCCTAAAGTAAATTAAAAGTGTGGAAAAAAATCATTATCAGGTTAGATCTTGAACACCCCTGCTTCACACTCGCAGCAAAAAATAAATGACGCAATCAATCCTAAGATGGTGATGTGCACCTGTAGCAATGTGGTAGAGTAATTTTCTCCCCGAAAAGCTATAAAGAAGTGCCAAACATATATGAAGTCAGAAATTATATAACACATTCTGTGAACCACAAAGTGATAACATGGACCCGTCGAATTTCCTAACCTATACAAAGAAGAAAAAAGACTACGAGCAATGAACGGAAGGCACACGAGCTCAAAGAAAATAAGATTCCAGACAAAATAAAGCACTAAAGAATCAAAGGAAACAACACTCCCATCCGGAACCCACGACGAAATCTGTCACACAATCAGGTGATATTGGTATCGGAAATTGAGAGTTGGACAATGTCGGAATATCGGATATCGGCAGAAAAGCCAATATCGGACATCCCTAATTTAAACTAAACAGGCAGGGGGCAGATAATGGAGTTCAGTACCATAAGCCAAGTTGTCATACCCATTTTATCTTGCTGTGTCTTCAGATTTATATAAAACCTGATATGCTCAGAGACCCAACTGACCTGTGTGTGAGAGAGAGAAAGAGAGGGGGATAGAAAAAGTTACTCCTATGGTTTACTTTCCTTTCCCTAGTATCCTATTATGATCCTTCCCCAGTCACTTGGGACAGATCAGACTGGCTCACCTAGAGTTTCCTCCATTTCTTTTCCTCACTCCTGGTTTTCTTTAGCTTTGTCTCCCCTCCCTGCCGCTCTTCAGCAAACCCTCTCTAGGGCCCTGCGGTCTCCTCTCTTTTCCATTATCCTGCTCTCGTTTCCTCAGTAAAGTCTCTTCCTCCCTCGTGATGCCCCTATTTCTTCAGCATTGTCAACCTCTTCCCTCCTCTCTCCTCTCCACCGTTCCCCCAGTCAGCATGGCCGTCTAAACCTGCATCACATCTTTCTTTTGTGTTTTTTCTTTTTCTGTCTGCCTCCTCCTCACCATCTCCTTTGGCAGCCCTCCCAAGTCCTTACTCTGCCTACTTTAAGTGGCACTAATGATTCTATTTTTGGCAAATGCCATCAGTCCATAATTAAAAAAGAATGTAAAAGTGTAAACTAAAACTCCTGTACTTGGACAGAGGAGGCAGAGCAGCAGAGTTCACTCAGCCGTAATGCGAGTGACACTTAGTGACCTTTTGCAAACTTGCAGATATCTGATTTTGTAAATTGCTCATGCTGGGAGCCATGCTGTGCTGTAGTAGCGATGTGGAGCATGCAGTGTGACAATCGCTCTGTTTGCAGGGG